ATCAACAACATCATCATCATCATCATCATCATCATCATCATCATCATCATCATCATCATCATCATCATCATCATCATCATCATCATCATCAACAACAACAACAACAACAGATAATAAATTTCTCCATTATGTCTGTTGGAAAAAAAGTAGTTGATGCTGCGAAAACGTGCACTCGTGTGTAACATATACAGTGAAAACCAGCTTAAAATCAACTCTCTAATAACTAGCCCTATTTGAATTTCAGTCTGATATAGCCATAATACGCTGATAGCACGGCATGGAATGACAGCGCAAAGGATTTGTAATAGAACACTTGAAACTAGTAGGCAATCAGTGGGACTGATAGTAAATGTTTGATATCCCTTTGACACAATCTAAACAATTAAAGGGACTGAGAGCTTCCAGTTTACCTTTCAGGGCCATCCCTGGCTGATATACCATGGATGAAATAGATTTACATACAAGAGAATAGTCCACACGTTTTTTGCCTTTAATTTAGAAAAGAAGCGACAACTAAACTTTACAGCGCATACTTTGATGCTAAGGATGTGGTGGTACGTAGATTATGCAAACACATAGCGATAAAAGAAAGGGACAATTAAAGCCCCATAATATTGACCGCCATTTTGATTCCTTGTCAGCACATCTTGCTAAGAGGAGAGAGACCCTACGTGAGACGAAACAAATACAAAAACCAGGTCAAATTTAAACCTAGTAACTCTTCGTGCCGGTAAAATTCGTATACAATCAGAGGTAATGATATAAACAAACATAGCAAAGTTCAAGAAACCATCCTACCAGAAACAGAGCAAGTCCTTCCCAAGAAGGTTAAAAAAAATACAAAACAAAAACAACAGAATCTAAGAAAACAAAACTTCACCGGAAAATGTCATCTGCATCATACTCCAGGCGAAGATGATCTTAGAACTGTACACACAGCTCACAAAGATGAAGGTGGATTTGCCGCAGCCACCCACAGCGTCAATGAGTTCTTCCATCGTAGACATGGTCACTCTCTACACCCGCACTGATTCCTAGAAATGATAGATATAACATTATGTGACATGTTGGGTCTTAAGCATCATTTGTTAAAGTTGAAATCTTTTAATTATAGTTAGCTTTGCAAACGAATAAGGCATGTAGCAAAGTATGATACAGTTGCTATTACGTTGAAAATTACTCATTGCTCTGTTTTCAGAACGCAGGCTACAAAGTAATGACGTAACCCCTTCACTAATTTTCTTTACAATTATTAAAAGGCAATCACTAAACAAAAATTACAACTGAACTTTTAGAATATCCCTTGGGGCCAGAGCATCACAGCGGAATTAACGTTACCTGTTGATTCAAAATTAAATTCTGTCCACGAACAAGTTGGAGCATTCCCAAGAATGTAGAAGTGGACGTTTAAAGCAAAGGAGCGGTGACATATGGACCTACCTCGTACCAGCGTGTAAGCGTCTTGCAGTCCTGTAAATTGCTGCAACGATGTAAGCAGTCGGCAGAAACCGAATCAAAAGGCCACAACCAGTTATTCTTCACGTACTTTAAACGCTATGAATTGGGAGGGGGGTGGGTGGGGGGTTTTCTCTTACGTTTCGTTTATGCGTTTTAAGCCTTCTATAACACAGATTAGTCACATCTAGGGTTGGTACTTGGTCAGCAAGTTAGAGGGGAAGACGAAAGAAAGAAACCAAAGGGAAAAAAGAAACAGTAAAGAAGGAAATGAACAAAGTAGAGAAAGAAAAACACGAAGAGGAAAAAAGCAATCAAGAAGAAAGAAATAATCAAAAGGAAAAAAACCAAAACCAAAAGAGAATAAAGAAACAATGAATAAGGGAAGAGGAACGTAAGTACCAGGTACGAAGGCGGAAGTTCGGAGGTAGGGCTCCCCCTGACGTATACCTTTGTATACTGTGTTCGTTATCCCTCAAATCAATTACTATCTGTGGAACCAAGGTAAAGGGGTGTGGGGGGAGAGGGGGAGTTGAAGTGGAGGGAGTGGTGGTTACTGTCCAACTGTCTCCACCACCTTTTATCTCCTCATTTTCTAGTTTTATAGGATCAGTTTTGTTAATCCGATTCTTAATGGCTTTGAAAACACCCTTTTCATTATCTTGTTCGTTTCTCTTGGCATTAAAACTCTTGTTGGTGGCTTAGAATCTGGCACGGGGTTAGAAAGGCTGATGATGACGATGATTAATCACTGGTAGTTTTGCTGTAGTTGTATGGCTTTACTTTTTGATTTTAAAAAAAAGGAAAGCTTGAAGTCTATACCGGTGTCAAGATGGAGGAGGACAGTGATGAAAGCAGTATTTTGATATGAAAAGCCTCGAGAGCCACACTGTGATACATACACCAGAGTGCTCATGAAGACCAAGGTTTGAGACCTTGCTCTCGCGGCAATCGGTGTTTTCTGGCCACATGATAATAAGCTTTGGCCATAGAACAGTATGTAAATCATTACTTTACTTTACTTTACTTTACTCTCCCCGGCCTCTGCTACCTTTTCGGCGTTGAGGGGAAGAAGCAAATGTGAAGCGTGCTAACAAAATGAGTTACTTCTCGGATTCAAGCCTTAAGGAAATAGATAAATCATGTTTACAGGTGAAGTTTTTACAATTAATAAGTACGAAATAATAAAAGACAGGTTATAGTTAAAGAATATAGCATCAATAGAAAATCTACCAATTTGACCCTAATGTCGATTTTTGGTCAACATCTCCATTTGTGGACAGTGAGAAGTTACTCATTTTGTCAGCACGCCTCACACATGTCTTTCTTTTGTTTGTTGTTGCGTCTATTGCATTTTTGTGCAGTTCTAGGCTAACGTTTCTCTGATCCTCTTTATCCATCTTTTCCTGGGCCCCGCAACTTCCTCTGTTGACACTTGATCTTTACATGTATGCTCTCGCTCCTCTACTGTCTGGTGGTGGTCTTGCCAGATGCCCAAACTATTTCGTTCCCTGTTTATCTATGTATTGCAAGCAGGGAGTTGACCCAACTTTCAAAATGTGTAGATAAAGCTCCCAACATGTCCCCTTTCCAGCAGACACCCTTAGACGAATTTGACCATGTAGACGGGGAGAGCTGGAGGTGAAACGTGTATACTAACAAAACAAAATCGTCTTTTCCCTATCCCAACCTGTGTCTATTAGAGCTTGATATGTATGAAAATGAAACAAACCGCTCTTAACCGGTCGCTCTTATTACAACATTTGCAATTTTTATAATTCCCCCTTCACACTCCCCCTCTTCTTTCTCTCTCGCTGTCTATCTCTCTGTCTCTATCTCTCTCTCCCTCGCTCTCTCTCTCTCCCCTCACCCACCCTGGTGGTATTGGCGACCCATAAACTACAACTTAATGCTTTGTATTAATTATGCTTTGTGTGGATAAAGGGTGCCAGGCACGCAGTGAGTTAGGAAAAAAGCCATCACATGATCACACTGTTCCTCGTTTGTGTTTGGGAATTAGTCAGGCCCTCAGGCCCCTAGTTGAGGGAACAGCAGATGTTGTTGATGTACGAGCAGTGCTACAATGACAGATAATGTACGCAGTAACCCTATGATAATTCTATTATTTTCAAAATGTTCTCATTCATCCTTAACTTTGTTCTAGACTCTAAGCTTGACGCCATCTGCTCTCCCTATGTTATAATGACAATTGTGCTACAGGAAGGAAGCCAAACGTATGCAAAATGAGAGAGAGAGAGAGAGTACTTCCTGTCGATCTCACTTTCTTTCTCTCTTTCTCTCTCTCTCTCTCTCTCTCTCT